ATGGATTGCCATCAACATTTCAGCGGAATTTTACAAATAGTTCGATGGTTTATATTTCGATTCAAAACACACCCTTCTTATTCGAATGGTTCCATCTTTAGAATCGCTAATGAAAATCCATTTCACTCTCGCGGCTGTTACAACATAATCACCAAAACCATAGCTTGCACTGCCTGGTACGACCGGTACGGTCGGTACAAAACAATGAAAACTAACTGGGACACGCAAAAGTCGAATAGATTTTCAACTCTCACAATGTTTGTTATTATTGTTGGTAGATAGGAGGTAAATGGCCGTGATTTATTCAAATTCATGTATATTTATGATCGTTAGTGAACATATTGGCGAAAACTAATAGGTATATCAAGTGTTCTGACATTACTTGGCTATCTAATCAAAAATATTCGGGATAAGAATTATCTGTTGAAATTGATCTTGAAAAATGTTAGTCTTCAATTTCCAATACTGAAAATGGAATTATAATTTATACATCGTCTTATACTCAAGATAAAATCACTCCTGTTTTAGTTTATTTTTTTGTGAATATTTGATTTTTGGCTGAAACTTGCATCGTTAGTGAATATATTCGGGAAAACTAATAGGTATATCACGTGTTCTGACATTACGTGGCTATCTAATCCAAAATATACCAGATAAATTATCTGTTGAAATTGATCTTGAAAGATTTGAGTCTTTAATTTCCAATACTAAAAATGGATTATAATTTGTACATCGTCTTACACTCAAAATAAAGACTCCTGTTTTAGTTTTTTTTTGTAAATATTTGATTTTTGGCAGCAACTTGATTATGACTTACACATATTTTGGGATACACCGCTCAAAATCACTGACTACGGTAAATGGCCGTGATTCATTCAAATTCATGTAAATTTATGATCGTTAGTGAACATATTCGGGAAAACTAATAGATATATCAGGTGTTCTGACATTACGTGGCTATCTAATCCAAAATATACGAGATAAGAATTATCTGTTGAAATTGATCTTGAAAGATTTGAGTCTTTAATTTCTAATACTGAAAATGGAATTATAATTTGTACATTGTCATACACTCAAGGTGAAGGCATTCCTGTTTTAGTTTTTTTTTGTAAATATTTGATTTTTGGCGAACATATTCGAGAAAACTAATAGGTATATCAGGTGTTCTGACATTACTTGGCTATCTAATCCAAAATATTCGGGATAAGAATTATCTGTTGAAATTGATCTTGAAAAATGTTAGTCTTCAATTTCCAATACTAAAAATGGAATTATAATTTGTACATCGTCTTTACACTCAAGATAAAGGCACTCCTGTTTTAGTTTTTTTTTTGTAAATATTTGATTTTTGGCAGGAACTTGCTTATGACGTACGCATATTTTGGGATACACAACTCAAAATCACTGACTAGGGTAAATGGCCGTGATGTATTGAATTTTAACTCACCACTTGGAGCTAAAATATACTACTTTCATCACTTGTATAATAAATAACTATTTTTAACGATAACGGTGGCAGATGCGTAAAAATCACAGAAGACAAAAAAGTTCAAAAACAAAAAGAACTCATTTCGTATTTCAAAATCTACCAGTGGCGCACCACTAAAAGTTTATGGAGCAAAAGAGAACCAGATACCTGAAAAAATATCTTCCTGTAGTTTCCTACAATCACTCGGCACACTATACAGGGTGGTCCGTTTTGTAAAACAAAATATTCAACAGTGTGTTGAACCCGTTGAAATAATTAAAAAGTTCATATAAACATATACTTTCAAACGCGTCGTTTTCGAGATGTAGGGTGTTGAAAATACGAGTCTGATGTAAAGTTCGAAACGTTTCGAGATAAATCAACAAAATTTCTCAGTTACTAAACTTTTTTTCGCTCTATTAGATGAAATAAAAATGATTTCATAAAGTAATTCAATGGCAGCTGAATCTAGAAGTGATGAAGGTAAATTGAAATTTCATTGTGTTTGTCCAGTTGATATTTTTTATTTCCTCAGATTTCTCATATCGTTAATCCGGTTCAATTCAAAAACGTTGTAACGCATAATTGAAAAATACAATTGAACTATTATGCGCAAAAATCCATCGTTTTTCACATTTTGTACTCGAAAATAATAAATTTGATGCACATATAAAAATTAGGATGATTTTTTCCTTCACCACCCCCAGATTCATCTGCCACTGAATTACTTTATGAAATGATTTTCATTACATCTTATAGAGTGTAAAAAGTTTAGTATCTGTGAGAAATTATTGTGACGCATATCAGACCGTTTGAAAATGAAATATGAAATCTTCTGAAATTGAAAATTTGCATTCTCCTTCAGACAAAAATATGTATATATATGCACACATCATTCTGAATATTCAACAGAAAACAACTACTTTCCTGGCTATTTGCCACGTCGAACATTGAATTATATCTGATGAACATCCAAAAGGAGAACATGAGAAATAAAAAATAAAATTCTCCGAAATTGAGAATTTACATTCTTTCTCAAATCGGATGAATAATATGATGTATAATGATATAAAAATATATATAACTTACCAATATATTCAGCATTGAAATGAAAATTGGAATGTATATGAGAAGTATACTGTATTTATGAACTTTTTTTATATTTCAACGAGTACAATACCCTGTTGAATTTTTTGTATTACAAACTGGACCACCCTGTATAATGTGGATCCTTAAACGTTACCTATGTTTCAAATTTGATCTGATTATCTCTAAAACTAAAAGAGCTATGAAGAAAAGAAGAAAAAATCTTGAAATTCAAACGCTCTCTAGATCAGTAACAAAGCGTTTTTTGACAAATGTTTATAAAAATAATTCCCTTAAATCTTGATACTGAAACTGAAATTTGGAACATTTTGTATATTATTTATAGCTTTTAACAAATTTTTTAGTTCATCACCTGAAACAAAACGCCATTACTCCTTCCCCCAAGAAAAAACATTATCGACGCCCCTGACCTTATGATGGGTGTAGTCATAGATCTAACATAGTTTAATTCGAAGTTGTTTTTCTTTTCTTCAGAGCATTCAGAGAGAAGCTTGTTTTTTCAAAAGTGTTTAATCTTTCAAATTCTTTAAACGCAGTGACATCTTGGGGCAAATCATTTGATTTTTCCTAACTACACGTATATTGAAATAGTATTCATATTTTTATTTTATAGAGACGAGGAGAGAAAATCCAGAAAAAATCTGGAATAATGAATGTACCTCCTCGATTAAGCTACAGACAGTATTTGTTTAATCTTTATTTATTATTTTCTCTACAGGCCCATTATTGGTTGCGCCACTGATTTCGTTAGTAAATCGCAGGAATTCCACGAATGTTCGCCTGCAACTAACAGACATCTCCGTGTTCTCGCGCCGCGCCTGCGTATCGAATTCCTGCTGAAAGTCGCGCTAGCGGGAGCACAGCCGTCTTCAATTGAAAGCCATGAAGAATGAACTTTGGCAACATTGTCCGAACGACCGAACGTGAACCTGTCGGCCATTCAAAGTGTATTGTGTAGGAAGTAAACAAAGAGTTTATGGAAGGTTTTGTTAAAGTTTTCAATTATTAATTGGTGTATTATTGAGATCAAATAATTTTAAAAGTATCTAGGAATCGACTCGAGACTGAAAATGTGTGGCAAGTGCATTCAAAATTGTGTTAAATTGGAGGTTATAGTGAAGTGTACTAGTGATGGTGTATTTGCAAGGGAATTTGTGTTGTTTTTTTTCAATTTACTCCTGGAAATAAGTAATTAATTCATTATTCCTTATGAAATATGCCTTCTAATTGTTGTGTGCCAGGATGTAAGTCAAATTACAGATCTGAAAAAAGCTGGGAAAGGATCATGTCTCAGTTTTTTTATTCCCGAAAGGGGAAAAATTGCGAAGTAAGTGGATAACAGCAATACCTCGAAAAAACTGGACACCATCTCAACGTTCTGCAGTATGTGCAATTCATTTTATTGAAAAATATATCATCAGGTATGATACATTCCCTCTGCCAGATGGATCAATTGGAAAAATTCGTTATGAGCACCAAAGTTCGTCGAAACAGCCGAGGAAACAGCAGTTCCTTCAATTTTTCCATATTTACCAAAATATTTTTCAAAACCAGCCAAATCATAAAGAACTGATCCAAATGAAAGACGTCAGGAATATTTAGATATTCAAAGTAATGTACCTAATAGAACAGTTTGAAAAATCAGACCTCATCCACAACTATGAACAGTTAGTTAGGGAATATGTTGAGAAAGTTAAAATTGATACTTGGAAAATCCATAAGACTGATGAAAAATTGTATTTTTATGAATCAGATTTGAAAGCAAATGATTTTTATCCCAATAATGTGAATACTTTACAAATCGTTTCTCAAGTTATAATATCCAATGAGATGGAGGTCCAAGTTTTTCTTGGTGATAATAAACTTGGATTCAATGAATTGAAATGGATTCTTACTCATGATATGAACTTGAAAATATTCTAGCTAGATTCAAAAATATCTCAGATCAAACTGACAAACAATCAGATATGAATGAAAAATTCGATATATCTCCATAAGTTTTATTTTAACAACATGTTCAAAATTGGCTGCAGTTCATGACCAAGGGAATTATTCAACCACATTATTCCTCGTTCTTCACTCTGTAAGTTCACTCTCGTGTATTTTTTACTCGATTTTTTACCTATTCCACAAAATAATCCGAGAAAATTACGTTAAACCAAACATTCAAAGCTCGCGCTCATATAAAAACCATTGTATTGCTAGGCGCGAATGGGACCGACGGTTTCCGTTCGTGCGACGTTGCCATTATCTCAGCACGGCTTGATAGTTGAAGACGGCTGTGGCGGGAGAGAAAACAAAACTCGGATTCTGTATCTAGTACAGCGTTGGCGGTCGATAGCAGCGTTTCTTAGCACGGAACGTCAATTTCAACGCGAGTATATCGCGTTCCGTGATGTGAGACCTGCTCGCAGGAATCCTAAACGAAAGGTCATATCGAGCGATCCTAAGCACTTGACGTAGCGGGATATTCGGTAATTATTGGCATTTACGTATGCGTGGAATTTCCTTTGTGGATTGTGGATGGCGCTCTTTTCGTTGGTAGCTTGAATCGATGTTCCTCTCCCACGGTTTGTAAGGTAAGAGAACGAAACAATGCGTGAGAAATCTGATATGCTCGCACATGGACTTGGGCTGTTCTTCTCGTGCTACTCCAGTTTCTCATTAATCATTTCTGACGGGATTACAGGGCACTGACGTCAATAGTTTCTGTTTTTATTTACTAGTTGCAAGGCAGACTGTGACTCGGCTAGACAGGCTAGACTATTATTATCTTTCCCTTGAAAGTGTCATCAATTTTTGTAGGTACAGTACCAATATTTTGAGTTTGAAATAATTTAAAGCGATCCAAAGAAAGTATACTACTACTAACCACTGTTCCTGTTTTTTGTAATACTCCGAAATTGAAATTGAATATTATTTCGAATAAGTATCCCAGTCAACACACGGACATTCGATGGACATCCATTGGACGTCCATTTAGGATATTTGGGATATCCAGAGAATATCCAGTGATATCCGATGTATATCTTATGGACGTCCAATGGACGTGCCGAGTGGAAGGAGTTGGACTTCTATAGGATATCCTTCAGGGACATCCATAAGACATTTTTCAGGGATATCCATAAGATATTGTTCACAAATATCCATAAGACATTTTTCAGGGATATCCATAAGATATTGTTCACAAATATCCATGAGATATTTTTCAGGGATATTTACTAAATATCCTTAACAATATAGAACACCATGTATATTATTCCATAATGAATTAGGAACTATTATAACGAATTCAACGGTACCGGATTGGATAGGGTTATTTCAAACGATTACGAAGATATTTGCATTCGAAGTTTTCATATGCTCATTGAGGATATGGAAATGTGAATATCTTCCTAATCGTTTGTAGAAATCCTATCAAACACAGTATCGTTGAATTCGTTATGATAATCCTTAACCGATTATGGAATAAAATACAGGGTGTCCCGTTTGAAAATGCCATCCTCGGTTAAAGTGCCAGTTATGAAGCAAACATGTAGGTACATACAACACAAATAAATAGTTGATCTTTGTGAAATTTATTTGAAAAGTACAACTACCAAGGACAGGTTTGACATTTCCAGAAAAGAAGTTGCTCGTCCACCCTGTTTGTGATAGGAAAATTGAGAATATTCATTATGTTTCATATAACTGGTCTCTTCATTTTTTTCTTAAAACAGGGCATCTCATCTATAGGAATACTGATTGTATTAGTCCCTCTGTTGATTTCTTTTTGTGTCAACCAAGCATATTTATATATCTCTGGAAGATCCCACATTCTTCCTGAAAACAATGATATAGAGTTGAGTTTCAGGAGTTTACCAATATCATTATTAGGGAGAGTTCTTCTTACCTGACACACACAGTGGACTGTAAACATAATGAGGCATAATACTTATTATACTTCAATGCAATCATTTGCATCCATTTGACCAGCCAAAACCAGGTGGCCCGCATTTATGAGCTCAGCTTCATTTTGGAGACACTGAATCACTGAAAAAGGATAGACAGATTGAAATGCACAGGCTAAATGGCCAAATCATAAGAATTCTTGTTCAATAATGATAAAAACTTACAGCTTATGTTGGTATAGGTTTTAGGTTCAACATTCCAACTAGAGGTAGGTAGGTGTTCTACTGTTAAACATCAGAGATATTATTGTCCTCAATCAAAACACAATGAACCACTGGAAAACACTGATTTAAAAAATACACAAATATCAAAGCTGAGAATGATTGAGAACTCAAAACGAAATTAACATAAACACATCACCTCTCAATAAACACCATCACCAAAACCAAACAATGTAAAATATAAACAATCAAATAGTACTGGCTTTCGCCGTTCTGGCTCTGGCGCTACGATCCCTCTTTCGTTTGACATGGCGGTATTTTCAAATCATCCCACCCGATTTATAAAATAACTTACTCTGAACAATCTATATAACCTCTATGTATAAGTTATAAAAATTATGAAATTGAAAATATTCTATTAGCCTGAATCAATATGATCATACCTATATTTCTTATTAAAAGTTTAACGCATATTATGAGAATAGAACCATAACTAGGTGTGGAATTCAGGAATTCTGAGAGTGGAGAACGTTCAGATATGACACACTAAAAGTCATTATGATTAATACTTATTATAATATACCAAATATCATTATTGCTTATTTGTATTATTACGATGTCTTTAAGACGTATTCAGGACGTGATAATCAGATATCTTTAAAACGTCTGAATGATGACATCTTGTAGACGTCTTATTCAGGGAGTAAGACGTACAGACTAAGATAGGATATAATTCAGACATCTTAAAGACGTCTTGTGCTATCTGGGTAAGATATCTTCTGATGGATATCCGCTATAAATCCATGGATGAATATCTCATGGATGTCCATCTGAAGACCACAAAAAAGTAAATATATGAGAGCCATTTTCGAGTGATTGTATATTTTTGTACGAAAACATTGAACAACAGAGAAAAATTCCAAACTGTGGTGTTGTTATTTATATGAATTCATATTTGCATCGGATATCTTAATTGTGGCTATAAACATATTATACCTACATAACAATAGTTATATGATGGAAAACTACCTTTGAATTTCTAATAAACATGTGATTTGCATGTGATATTTGTGATGATTCGTATTGTTTTGAACCATTCTCAATTAACAATTTTTGTTCGCTAAAGGAACATCTTATGGACGTCCATAGGTGATCCGCATCAGAATATCCATTTGATATCCTCTGACGGATATCCTATGGATATCCATTTCATGTCCCTGGATATCCCGACCTGAAATGGACTTGAGAAGGATATCCATAGGATATCCTGTGTTATCTGGGATACGAGGTGTTTTTGAAATAAATACATATATCCAACACATCGATATGATACAGTCTAACGAATATTCTAATGATGTCAGATTTTTTCTAATTCTTCTAATTAAGGAGAAATTTCATCCCGAAAATTGAACTAAACGGGGGGAAAAATCAAATACGCCAATATGACGCCACTTTAAAACAATTTAAATCGATATTTAAATGATTGAACTTCGAATATTTCGGGTAGAACAAGCAGGGGTCTCACCAAAAATTTTATTCAATTCCCTATATTTATGGAATAGGGATTCCCTTTCGTGCGCTCCAAGCCATAAAAAACATGAAATGTCCGTTCATTTCCTTTTTTTTTCAATCTATTTGAATTAGTCATCTGCAATAGTATCATACCTTCTCAACCGTTCTCAACTACATAGAAATGGTTATAATTTGAATTTTTTCCATAAAAACAAACTTTAGTAAACATTGTATTCAAAAATAAATCTAATACCAAAACAAATAAACCACTTGCTTTCTTCTGAAGGGAGACAAAAATATTGCTGTTTTTATGGATATAAAGGGTGAGTCATATTGGGACATAGGCTAAGGTGTAATTGTTTGGACCGAGGTTTGGACCAAAATATGCCTTGATGCAATATTGCTGTGGAAAAAGATACAGGGCGTTTCAATCGAAAAAGTATTGACTATTAATTCGCACCAGAATGTGTTCACTGATGTGAAATGTCATTTGCCAGCAAAATATACCTGACCTCGTACCTGACAGCCCAAAGCACACTCTTCATGAATGAAGTAATATTTTGAAGTCTCCTTCCGAGACTATGAACTATTCAATTGCGTTTTTCTCGAAAACGGATGAAAATATCGTGTTTAAGCAAGAGTACTAATATTACTCAGAAATCATGTTTATGTCATATTTTCTGATCAAAAGTTTAGTCAAAAAAAGTTACTAGTCGATTTCATCATCAGGAATCATTTTGATGGTGCCTCCTGTGACAAATTGTAGAATAATACATAAAATAATATTTCCTGTGTAAAATGATGCCTGTGCCGATTTTGATAACAATTGATAGATACAGGGTATGTCACGAGATGATACGAGCTAACACTATCTCTATATCGAGAATCAGTCGGGAGAAATCCATAAAAATATGCATGATTATATTTTAGAATACGCTCTCTTCATTTAAAATAATGTCAGCGATGCAGTGTTGTTGTAGCAACAATTTCGTTAATTCAAATAGAATCCCAGATAGCACAAGTACATTTTATGGATATACTATGGATATCCATCATGGATATTGTGGACGATATCCGAAAAGAGGCTCTGGTATATCCTATGGACGTCCATAGGATAAGACAGTGTGACCTTTTTGGATGTGTTGAAGATATTCATTATGGATATCCATAAGATATCAACTATGATAAGAGATAGTATACCTTATTATATAGAAAAAATCACAAAAATTGGGAAGCACTCACGTCTCACTGCGAACGAATAATGTAGTTGTCAGTTCTTATGCATCATCACTTTTGGACGAATTCGTAGGAATCACTTCCAAATTCACTTCAAATTGATTAAATATGAGAACAGATTGAAATTATTTGACAATTCGCGCTGTTCAATCAATAATAATAGTGCATCACAATGTGTGCTATCTTTTGGAAGATTCTCGCACAAGTGTTACTTTTGTGGATCTCCTTTCATTTATTTATCATTTCATTCATTGTATATACTTGATTTTTAATTTCTATCTTATGGATATACATTTTATGTCCACGGATATCTCGCCTTGAATAGGATTTGAAATGGATATCCATGAGATATCCTGTGTTAACTGGGATACCCTGTATTTCATTGCATTTTTAGATTGTCCCTGAAGAGCTGATTTCATCGATACGTCAAACTTGGGGTCTATCGGAAATGATAACAGAGATATAAGGTGTTCAAAATCGAGATTTTTCAACTTACGGATTTGTTTGGGTCGAAACTATTCATTATCTGCCAAAACGGCTCACATGTCCCTATCTCAACTTTTGATTTACTATTCACTGTTATTCAATCGGAACAGATACAGGGTGATCAGAATTCTGAATCTTGAACAAGATGTCACTGACTATCCATTAAATTTCTCCGTTATGCTCTCTAACAGTGAAATTTTCAAACGTAGTCATATGTTTTGGGGCCAATTTGA